AACTAAAAAAAACTAACTTAGGTTGGCCACTGGGTGGCACTCCTGGGTCATACCTGGAGAGTACAGCAAATACTCTTTAAGTATCTTGGAGGCAGCATCACAACCCACAGGAGGGCCAGAACCTATTTGCTGAACACAGCCAAGTTAATGACCTACTAGAAATAGAAACAAGACCAAAGCCTTGAGAGATACCATTCGAAAAGCCCAGGATACACTAGAAAATGACTTGGCTTCTGAAGAGCCAGAAAGCTCAACTGGTATAAGAAAACAACAAAAGACAAGACCTGCACAGACCAGGGACCAAGGCCCAGACAGACCAGTACCACCCCTGGGCAGGTAGTCCTGACTGTATAAGAAAGCAGGCTAAGCAAGCCACAGATAGGAAGCCAATGAGATATGCTCCTCCATGACCTTTGCATCAGCTCCCACTTAGTTCCAATTCTGATTCCTTTCATGATGGAGTACAACTGTAAATGAAATAAACCCAAGTTGCTTTGGAACATGGTGTCTTATCACAACTACAGAAAGCAAACTAAGACAGAATCTGTTTTAAACTTTTTCCAGAATGTAAGAGTGGCCCAGTCTGGAAGTAAATGGGAAGGCAGCCACACACGACTGCCACACTCCTTTAGTCCTAGCACTCAGGTGGATCTCTGTGAGCTCAAAAGCCAGCCTGGTCTATGAGTTCCAGGAAAGCCAGGGATATATACAGAGAGACCGTGTCGCAAAGTAACAAAACAAAAACAAAACAAAAAAAAATTTTTTTTAAAAAATGAATGGGGGTGCCGGGCGTTGGTGGCGCATGCTTTTAATCCCAGCACTCAGGAGGCAGAGGCAGGAGGATCTCTGTGAGTTCGGGGCCAGCCTGGTCTACAGAGGGAGTGCCAGGATAAGCTCTAAAGCTACACAGAGAAACCCTGTCCTGAAAAACAAAAACAAACACAAACAAACAAACAAATAAAAAATGAATGGGGTGGTAAAAGAGCAGCAAAGAAATGGAAAGCATGAATCAGAACCTAATGGGAGCGTTTAGAACTTCCTTAGTACCATGCCACTGGAACAGATTTACAGGACAGGCTCAGCCACAGTAGACACCACAGGAGAGGACAGCCTAAGGGCGGATGACTAGGAACTACCAAATGAACAGAGAGAGATACGCAAGAGTGAAGGAACACCTAAGGTGAGCTGCTCCCACTTATGCTGTAAGGTGCTAAGACAGAGCAGACCATGAAAACAGCCTGTACAGGAATCCCTACAACAGCAGCTTAAAGAGACAAAGAGAACTAAAAATACAAGCCTCACGTAACAGTGCAGTTCAGTCATCACAGAACTCAGGAGACAGAGTGCAAGGCCAGCCTGGGCTACATGAGACTCTGCCTCAAGAAAAACAAACAAAACCAAAACCACAACAGACAGTGTTGGTAAGATAGCTCAGTCAGCGAAGGCTCTTGCTGTCATGCTGGACGACCTCAGTTTGACCTGTCTCCAAACTAACAAACAAGAGGGTTAGCATGAGGACCCGAGTCTGGACCCTAGCTCCCATGGAAGAGTAGGCATGGCAGTGTGTGCTTGAAATCCCAGCTCTAGGGAGACAGAGAGAGGAGGATCCCGGGGGCTTGTCAGCCAGCCAGCCGAGCGCAATCTGCCAACTGCAGCTTTAGTGAGACTGTGTCACAACAAATCAGGTGGAGAGCAATGGAAGAGGAGCCTGACATTGGCTTCTGGTTTCCATGGGCACACATGTACATGTATACACATGTACAAAGACGTGTGTGTGTGTGTGTGTGTGTGTGTGTGTGTGTGTGTGTGTACACATAACTACAAAACAAAAGGCTTCCAATGCTAAGACAGTACTTCAATCCTTCCTTCTGGGAAAGAAAATGAGGCAAAGTAGAGATAGAACAACTGGAGGGCAGCTGGGGTACGAGAAGAGCACAGCAGTGTGAGGACGGGTACAGGAGGTAACACTGGTAACCAGGAATCCATTAAGCCACCCCAACAACCCTACTGTGAGCTTTCCTTTCTGTTTAAGCCAGTCTTTCTTTCTTTCTTCCTCCTCCTCCTCTTTTTTTTTTTTTTGAGACAGGGTTTCTCTGTAGCTTTGGAGGCTGTCCTGGAATTATCTCTTGTAGACCAAGCTGGCCTTGAAATCACAGAGATCCGCCTGCCTCTGCCTCCCAAGTGCTGGGATTACAGGTGTGTGCCACCATGCCTGGCTCAGTCATATGGCTTTCTGACACAACATATACAATTAACAATGAGTCTTCACTACTACAGCTTAGCTGTCACCTCAGCAATGGCGATTGGTACTGAGAGAAATGTGGACACTCCTCACCTTCTTTCTGTTTCTTCTGTTCAAGTTTCATCTTCTTTGCCATTAACTTCTTCTCTTTTAACTTCTGGCTACACATGGAAACATACAGTGGTTAACTTAGTGGGTGTTTTGGAAAAACACTAACTTATGCTGTCTTTGTAACAATGCAAATGCTACAGTAACAGGCTGGGATGGAGAGACTGGAGTTTAGCTCCCAGTCATGAGTTGTCAGGCAGGCAACTCATAACTGCCTGCAACTCCAGCTTCTCTCCTGGCCCCAATCACATTCACACGCACAAACCACAAACAGACACTCAAAAAGTGATTCTTCTAGCCTGTCACTATCAACTGTTTTCACTTAAGTAAGCTGGGATCAAACTCCTCTGAGGAGTAGGCTGAGAGTAGTGGCTTATATCTATATTCCCAGAATTTGGTGAGGCTAACCAGAAAAATCAAAATCAAGAGTTTAAAAAAAAAAAAAAAGCTACACAGAAGACTATCTCAGAAGGCAAACAAAAACAAAATGCAGAAATGATGGGAGACATGGAAACCCACAGAGTCAAAGTTCAACCTGTATCTTTGATCTGTAATGGGATAAAGGAGCATGGCAGGGGTGTGGGTTCAAGGTATCGCTTATTCCTCTCAGTGTTACTCATCTTAGGACTCGACTACCCAGACTCCCGCAGGTTACACAAGTGAACTTTTTGTTTTGTTTTGAGGGTTTGTTTTTTTCTTTTTGGTTTCTGGAGATAGGATTTTGCTGTGTATCCCTGGTCACTCTGTAGACCAGGATGGCCTCGAACTCAGAGATCCACCCATCTCTGCCTCCCGAGTACTGGGATTAAAGGAGTGTGCCACCACCGCCTGCCGAGGGTTAATTTTTTTAAAGATTCATTTCATTGTGTGTATCTGAGTATGGGTGTGTACACTTAAGTTCAGTGTCCATGAAGGCCAGAAGGGCATCAGACCCTCTGGGGTCAGTTACAGGTGGTTGTGAGCTGCCCAACATCACAGCTGTGGGAACTGAACCCTAGACTCTGGAAGAGCAGCAGGAGTGGTAAGCTACTGAGCGGTCTATCCACACATTTGTTTGTGGAGTGTTGTGCATGATGTGTGTGTGACTGACAAATGTGTGGAGGTCAGAAAACAACTACTTTCATTTTTAGTGCCCCCAACCTCCAGATGGGGTTTCTCTGCGTAGCCTTGGCTGTCCTGGAACTCACTCTGAGAACCAGTCTGGAACTCACAGAGATCCACCTGCCTCTGCCACTGGAGTGCAGGGGTTAAAGGTGTGAGTCACCATGCCCAGCTTGAGGACAACTTTTGAGAACCACCATGTAGGTTCTAGGACTGTACCTCAGGGTTGGCAGCAAGCATCTTCACCTGTCGAGCCATGTCACCAATCCTTTTGCTCTTAATGGGGTCTTGAACTCCTGGCTCAAACAAGTATGCTCTTACCCTAACCCTGGCTGCTAGTGAACTTTGGCCTGTAAAAACCTGGCTCATTACCCACAATGTACTTTCCCACCTCCAGCCTGCAGGCCACGAGGATCTCAAAAAGCTCTTACCGCTTTTTCCGGCGCTTTGCAGTCTGCTCCTCTGCAGCAATTTTATTCTTTTCTAGTCTCTTCTGAAACTCTGCATCCAGTTTTTGCTGAAAAAAACAAAACAACACATCGCTCAGACCTACCCCGGACTGGACAGACTTTAGGAAGTGTAAGAGTTCAAGTTCCATAGCACACCACTAGGGGTGCCACAGATAACACCCAGGTCTCCAGCTTAAAAGATAACCCCAGGCTGAACAGGTAATTAACACAGAACTCTCTAATGGCAAAATAACACTGTTTACAGAGACACCACTTATATAAGACAAAACCTGCAAGAGAAATTAGGGAGGGAACTAGTATGGGTGCATACAATAAATGGGGAGGAGGGGAGAAAAGAGAGAGAGAGAATGAAAGTAGAAAACAGAGCAGGGAGTGGGAAAGGGAGACAGGGAGTAAGTGAGGGAGGGAGGAAAGAGAAAGGAGAAAGGGAGGGAGACAGAGGGAGGGGGTGGAGGTAGGTAAGTAGGTAGGTAGGTAGGTAGGTAGAGAGAATGAATGAATGAATGAATGAACGAGAATGAGACAGGAGACTCTTTGAGGGGAGGGGTGGCTCTGATGGCCTGCACTTGAGCCACTAACTAGAACTCAGCAGAAGGGAGAGTAGAGGATCAGAGCCCAGGAGTGAGTCCTAATGCCTTACGTAGAGTTATTAAAGGGCTAATTCTAGAGCAGTACAGTAAGGATGCGTGGCTCAGCAGGCAAAGCACTTGTCACACATCATAGCACTGTCCTTCAAGCCAATCAGCCACAACCTTGAGTTCATCTGTGCCTGCCTGTAAAAAATCACCACTGCTGGACCTGTTGCCATTCCCCATAGAAAGAGGGGACAGGAGGGTCAAAGGACCCTCACCTGAGTATCCAGCTCCCCCCCAACCAGATATATGTAATTCTGCCATAACTACACATAGCCTTGAGGTCAGAGACAGCTGGAGTATATAGGCTGGAAAGGCTAGAAAAAAAGAGGCTCCCTCTCTGCTGTCACAGGGAAGGAAGCCATCTTCCTGTCATGCAGGAAGAAGACTTTCCAGTGCAGTGCTTTTGGGTCACCCATCCCCCATCAGTAATCTCTCACCATGCTCTGTAAGCCCTAAAACTCATTGGTTCCCCAGGGAGAACTTTGGTTTGTCATTAGGACTTTGGAGGGAGGGGACTCGATACTGCCTACTCCCCTTTAACTTGAGAATTCTTAGACCACCACACAAGTGTAAGGACAAGAGTTTGGATCCACAGAACCCATGTAAGAGGTGGACATGACAGTCTAATTTTGGTGCTCTTAAGGCTAGAAAATGCTAGAGCAGACATGAGAATCCCCTGAAGCTCAAGAGCCAGCTAGCCTGGTGAAAGCAGCTCAGTAAAACCTATGCCCACACATACCAGAAAACCCAGAATGCTCAACACTGCACGCTCTCTCTCTCTCTCTGGTACTCTGTGACTCTGCAGTGCTAAGGATTAAATCTGAGCCCTCATACTTGCCAGGCAAATGCTTTACCACCAAGGCACACCCACAACATTTGCTTCACAGCTTCTGTGTGGTTGTGTGTGTTTACATATGTGCATGAACATGTGTTTGGATCACATGTATTCCAGATCACATACATAAGCCAGAGCACATGGCTTCAAAGCCCAAGGTCAACTTCAGGTGTCACTCCTAGGCTGCCACCTAGGGTGTCACCAGTTAGGCTCAGGTGGCTGGTAAATATTGCTCAAGGATCTGCCTGAATCCATCTCCTCGGTGATGAGATTACAAGCACCCACCACCACACCTAGCTCCCTGCCCCATACACACACCTGGGTTTTGGGGACTGAAGTCAGATCTTGTGCTTGCAAGACAAGCATTTTACTGACCCACCTCCCCTTCACTTTATTATTTTGAAACAAGACCTTACTATGTTGCTCAGGCTGACTCTGAACTTCTCTAGCCTGAGCTTGGAAGCTGGGAATACAGGCCCATGCCACTCTGTGCAGCTCCTAATGGTTCAGTTTCTATTTGTTTCTTTGAGACAGAATCACTATTCTGTAGCACTGGCTGGCCTGCACCTCCCGAGCGCTGGGACTAAAGTTGTCCACTGCCTGGCTCTTACTGGTTCTTAAAGCACAATTTCTAAAGCAATTATTAGAGAGAGAGAGAGAGAGAGAGAGAGAGAGAGAGAGAGAGAGGTGTGTGTGTGTGTGTGTGTGTGTGTGTGTGTGTGTGTGTGTGTGTGTCCTTCATTTCCTGTCCTAGAACTAGCTCTGTAGACTAGATTGGCCTCAAACTCACCTGCCTCTGCCTCCTGAGTGCTGGGATTAAAGGCATGTGCCACCACCACCTGGCCTAAAGCAATTCTTAAACTCTTATAATTATTTGTCACCTATCATGAGGAAATATAAGCACCAAGAAAACTAAAATCCTCTGAGAAACAGGCATTGAACACACACTACTATATACACCAACCACAGTGAGCTGCATGAGACAGCCCAACAGAGAGAGGACAGAGGAGGAAATCCCCAATGGTGTGGAAGCCTCCACTAGCTATCCCATTACATGACAAATGGCCTGGGGAAGGAGGAGAACGGGACTCTGTGGTGCCCTTTCATATACATGGAAGACTCCTACACATCACTTTTCTGGTGTGAACAGCTTGTAGTGCCCAGTCTGACCCGGAGCACAGGGTTCTGAAACTCACTAACCTTCTCAGCCATGGCATCCATGTAGTCCTGCCTCTGGTACTCTCTCCGCCGTAGGTGCCTATACACGTGGAACTCTCCACTGCCAGCCCCGGCACTGGAACCTAGAGTCAAAACAGTACAGAGTTCCAGTTGAAACTCAGTTACCAGGCCTAATGACAGAACACACTAGCAGAGCATTTGCCTGGCAGGCACAGGTCCTGAGTTTAATCTCCAGGACTACAAAATGGGGAGGGAGAAAAGAAGAAAAGAGGAACCCACTTACCAACATAAGCTGTACTTAACCCCTAAGACCAGAGACAAGAACTCAAACTGAAGGTACTGTATGTATTGGGTCTTTCTACTTGTAGTTTAGCAAGGACAGCACCCTTGTGGCACCCTGTAGGTATTAGTAAATGACTTGTATGAACACTGACTGTGAGGTCACTGGAAATCCCACTCTAACCAAGCAGTGGTAGTACAAGCCTATAATCCTAGTACTGGAGGCAGGAGGACTGAGAGTTCAGGACCAACTTAAGCTACACAGAAAACCCTTGGCTCAAAAAACTCCATTTCTATATGACAGTAAGAGGAGAATCAGACTATGGTTTAAAAACCAGACATCTAGAAAGGATTCAGCTTCCTCCATGATTTCACAAATGACGAGCTAGATTCCTAACAATTGAAAACTATGTCTGATACTGCAAGTGAAAAACAAGTGGGTTATAAAAACAGATGAATAACTATATAGAAACAGTTTATCTTAAACACAAGGTCTGATAGTTTGAAGGACAAAAGGAAGACAAATTAAGTCAACAAGAGAAGGGGAGCTGTGTCTTGTTTGTGTGGGTAAACTGCCATTTGAATATCAGACCTAGGCAGAGGACTGACTGACCATGTCTAGTCAGCTTGAGGTAAACTGAGGCATAGGGAGGGAGGGAACACTCACAAGTCAGCAACAAACCTGAGAAGCCAACCCTCTTCTCCACCTAGCTGCATTATGTCCTGTTGTTTATGTGTATATGTAGGTGTTTGTGTGTACACGTGGGTGGCAGGAGAGGCCAGAAGAGGGTTGATCATTGTGCTGGCTAGTTTTATGTCAACTTGACATAAGCTAGAGTTATCTGAAAGGAGGGAACTTCATTTGAGAAAATGCATCCATAAAATCTGGCTGTAGGGCATTTTCTTAGTGATTGATGGGGACTGGAGAGATGGCTCACAACCATCTGTAATGAGATCTTGTGCCCTCTTCTGGCCTGCAGGCAAAACACTGAATACACAATTAATAAATAAATCTTTAAAAAAATTAGTGATTGATGGAGGGCCCAGCCCTTTGTGAGTGGTGTCATCTCTGGGCTGGTGGTCTTGGATTCTATAAAAAAGCAGGGTGGGCAAACCATAATCATCAATCCAGTAAGCAGCTCCCTCCATGGCCTCTGCATCAGCTCCTGTCTCCAGGTTCCTGCCCTGCTTGAGTTCCTGTCCTGACTTCCTTCAGTGATGGACAGCATTGTAGAAGTGCAAGCCAAATAAACTCTTTCTTCCCCAGCTTGCCTCTGTTCATGGTGTTTCGTCACCACAATAATAACTCTAGGGAAATGGTGAAAGCCTGTGATGTCAGTACTTAGGAAGAAGAGGCTTAAGGATTATGAGTTCAAGTATAGCCTGGGATACATAGTGAGACTCTATCTCAGAAAATAAACACCTTTAGCATACAGGAAGCCTGGAGATCTTCCCTGACTACTTTGTCTGATCATGTGGGCCTCCAGTCTACACCAACTTTTTAAGGCCTCTGAATAAAATGGTTTAACCACAAGAAACAAAACTACCTAAGAATAACCGGACAGCCATTACCTAGTGCCAAACCATAAAACCCAGCACTTCTTCACTGTAAAAACATCAAAAAAATTTTTTTCCTATCAAAAATTTAGTTGGCAAGCATCAACAATAAGTGTTTCATATTTCCCCTTAAAAAGTATTATCTGCCCCCACCCCTCCCCCACGAAGACAAAAGACAGTACCCATGACATCTCGGACAAACTCTGGAGGAGGCCGAGGCGCCCATTCATTCATCTTGTCTGGAATTGGAACTGCTTTGTCCTGCAACAGTGAAACAGAAAAGCATTTGTAAGCATACACCTGCTGAGGAAGTTACAGCTCTTTGTGACCCAACACAAATGAGCAGGCTTCTCAAACCCAGAGCTGACTGAATGTTCATCTTCTACACTGTGCTTGCTTCATCCTGTAAACCATGGGGTCTAACATGGGCCACAAGTCTCCCACCATACACACGACTGGAATCTAAGTCATGAAAGGAGAGCCAACCTCTTCTTAGCAAAGATATGAGACTTTCTCAACTGTTTATACGAAGCCCGGTTGGGCGTTAATGAGTGATGTGTTCCAAATTTGTGGCCAATGCCTCTTTAATAATGGGCGTTATTTAGAGGAGTTGAACACTTTCCCTAAGGCCTAGATTCTTTTTTTTTTTTTTTTTTTTTTTTTTTTTTTTTTTTA